AAACAATAGTTTCATCGTGTGACGAGGTCATTTGATCGGCCGATTCTCAGCAGTCGACGATTAGAGAGCAGCGAAGGATAGCTCCATCGCCGTTCGGGCCGAAACGTGAATCGCGCGATCTAAACTTATTCCTATATACATCAGTCAATAGCGGCCGCCAGATTTAATAAACAGTGTCAACCGTCTATTTGCTTTATAAAGTCAGCGGTCGCACGAATTCTCTTCCGGTATAGATTCTCCGAAGAGAGAGATAGAGAGAGAGAGAGAGAGAATTAGGAAGAGACATCGAATCGGAATATCTTAAATGCAACAATTCCGTGATAACGACGAATTAATAATAACAATACGATCTTTTAAATATTTTAAAATAATGTAAATAATAATAATAATAAGTTATATTTCTTTATCGTTGCACAAACGCATTGGAATGATCGTCCACCGAGTCCTTCCTCCCTCCCCCCCGCGCTCAACCCCGTCACAGAGCGATAAATTATTTTCGTCTCGACCGTCGTCTGGCGGTAAAGGGTGCGCGAGGGTGGTAGAAACGGAGAAGTCGTCCGTGAGCTTTTCAGTCGGACGTAAATTGCAAGCAATAGATATATCCTTAACCGGTCCGCGGCTTATTTATGGACATTGCTTATTGAATGCGCGGGTGCATCGTGGAGGCGCACCGCCGATTCTGCACGCAGAGCCGGCATCACACGTCGCACCAGCCGCGTGCAAGCTCATGGAGAACTCGCCTGTGACGAATCGAAGGGCTCGTCATGCTCGTATACTGGGCACACACACGTAGTTCGCGATTCTCGTCGGAGCCGTTGGATTCCCCGTCCCGTCGTCTGCCTTGCTCGAGCTCGGGATACAACGTACAGTCAGCGTCATGTGTGCTGTATTATTCTCTGGACGGAAAATTATACGGTTTTCAGTCTTATGCATAAGCCGTAAGATTGAAAATCGCATGAATAACTGTAATTATATTTAATTATAACTTGATAGGATTACAATGACTGTAATTATAACAGTTTCAGCTGTAAAGGCAGGTAATAAAGAATATTCGTATTGGTGTTAAAATCGGTCCTTGTTGAAATGTTTATGTTAAATTTTTCACGTACTCGTGTGTTAATTTAGCATATCGTATTTATGTTATCTCAACATTTTGCGTTGTATCAATATTCAATATGTGTAGATGTTAAAGTAACACATTTTATATCTGAGTGTCGATTAATATATTAATTTTATGCTAATTTTTGACGTGACATTTGTGCTATTCATTTTGTGTTAAATCAACACACAAATTTTGGACCGTTTGGAGTGTGTGAAATGTGTTAAATTTCACATCAAATTTTTTACTATGCACAGGTGAGAGGGTAAAATCGTGTGATAGTAAAAAGTTCCAATCTAAGGAGCGGTACAGCATACACGACGCCGACTGTGCGTGACTGTACGTAATTAGAGCAAATAATACTGTTATTCCTTCCGTTATGAGTTTGTTACAAGTTTCTTTGGCGAAGATCGATCGCTACGCTCCCGACCCTGACACAATAATCCAACAAGGCCAGTATCAGGGAACAATCTTCTCCTTTTCCCCCGGGCCACGTGCGCCTGCCACCTCGCGCTACTCGCGCAAGTTTGTTTAGCCCGCTCGGAGTGTCAACGAGAGATCTCGGTGACGGTCGGCTGACAGCGATTTCGCGTTTGTGGCCGCCACGCGGCCCCGGTTTCTGTCAGAGCACTCCTCGATTTCCGCCCGGGATCGCGGAGTGTCGACGGACCCGCGGCGACAGTGATCACCTGTTTATTATGCCGGGCGACGACTGATCCGATCCCAGCGCGCGTGAGCTATTTTAAATAAGGGTCGCGCGAGCGAGCTAGCGAGCGTCCCGGTCCCCTCGTTAAAGAAGAACAAATATCCAACGCGTTCGACGCTTTTTCACGCGGAGCAAATCGGCCACGGACGTTTACGACCCTGTTTGGGCTCCAGCGAGTTCCTCTCTCGTGAGAGGAGCTCTCTCTCTCTCTCTCTCTCTCGCGCGCGCGCGCGCGTCGTATCGACATTTTACGGCGCTACGTGCTCGCATCGCGTTTCGCAATCGTTGCCGATGTCGTTTCATTTTAGATTTGCAGCTCGGGTGTCCGTTCGAAGACGATGAAGGTTCACGATCGATGATACTCGAGATGATGCTACACATCAACGATCGCCCGCTTTCTTCGGACGAGAATATAAAGTTCGCAACGAAATGTCGAAATGGAGGGAGCATATATGAGAAACAATATCAAACAATGCGTCGAAAGACGAAGGACGCAGCTCTGCCTTGGCTCAAAATCGTGCCTTAGCCGTGAATCGCGAATTGTTCCGCGACTTTTCGGTCGGAGATTCGTACGGGTTACCACGCGGTTCTTACCGCCCTCGATCAGTATGCATTTTGCGCGGTCCGGCGTTTCTTCGAGGACCGCGCATCCTTCTTCCCACGAAGGGCACACCGTGAGCGCATTTAAACGTTTTTCTGCGCGATGCTCGATCGATCGGGACGCGAATTCTTTCGCAGGCTGGACTCGCGCGGCAGCTTGATTTATATACATACAGGGTGTATCGAAAGTCGGTCACTTTCTCCGAACTACCGATACTACAAACCACCGATTTAAGAATCCCCGTACGATCAGTGCAGAATAACGTTCAAAGTTTCCCAACTAGAAGTAATTAAAATTGTACGATAAATTAAAAATAAATATGTCGAAATCTTACGTTTCGGTTGATTTGCGAGTTGCCCCTGTTAGAAGAGGGAATCTCGACTTAAATCTTAATAAAATGCTTAGAGTTGCAGATTTGAAGCTGCGTGGAAGCCGACGAGTTCAATCGAATTTTCCTCGGTTTCTCGAAAAATTGGCTATTAAAGGTTCTATAACGGGCTCGCGGACTCTGATACACCCTATATATACAATATATACACACGACGAGCTACCGTTGATCGAAACTGCTGAACCAGTTTCGTCTTTCGTGCTAATCCACCTTCGTCGCTCCTTGTTCTCTCGTTCTCTCGCGCTCCCCTGCTCCCTCTCGAAAGCGCACCTTTTTGCGCGCGAAATCGGCGTTTCGCGGTGATGACCGCCGTTTAAATCGCACGCTCAAGCACCCACAGGTTACGGCACCGTTTCGCGAGCACGCGTTCCGCAAAATTCAGTAATATTATCCTGAATCTCACTCGAACACGTCATTTCCTTGAGTTATGAGACCGTGCAGATTCTTTCCGGCTAAAATGTATGCATGTATGAAAAAAATTAGTATCAATTCAAGTCTCTTATTCTCATATATAAATAAGAACATATAATCTTATATAAAGATAAACCTCGCTTACATAAAGAAGTTCTATGTGGTTCTAAAAATATCATATTGTTGTGTTATTTAAGAATAATTTTCGTGAGTTGAAAGGAGAGAATTTTGAATGGAAAAAACGATACCTACGAACTAAGAATTATATTAGTTTAAAGATAGCGTTCTTTCTGTCCAATTTTTTGTCTCAGTTCGGAAATTATCTTTGAATAACAAGAATATGATATTTTTAATGGAACTATATAGAATTTCTTTATGTGTGTAAGCAAGACTTATTTTCATATAAGATTATATATTTTTGCTTATATGTGTAAAAATATGTTTTGAATTGATGAAGTTTTTTCACGGTGTACAAAAGCGTAAATCAAGAAGATCTGAGGGAAAATCACACAATCAATTTTCATCGGAGAAATCGCAGAACACGAGTAAAACTCATAGGTTGTACGAATCAGGGCTGCTGTTCCGTACACATCTACTGACGTCTGTCGGTTCGATTAGTGTCGTCGCGCAGGTGCAATCATATCATAAAATAGCTGCGCAACGACACACACCGAGCCGGTCAGTTGTCAATAAACATATGTACAGCACGCAGCCCCCAGAGCTCCACTTAATAAATTAGAAACGACTTGCCCCGCGGATCGATCAGCTGTCGCGCTCTGCGGATAGGACAAACGCAATCGCGGCGGATGACGAGGCGCATTATCGTAAGGTGGAATTGCCGCGTAATTAAAATTTATTCGCGCGATATCGCTCCCCGATGCCTCGCATGCGCGTACGTTGCGTTACGTTGTGTTACGGCAGCTATGTAATACGCGACACGCACGATAACGACGCGCCGCGCTCGCCGAAACCGACACAGAAGAGCTCATTAAGGGAATTTACTGGCGATCGCGTTGCATTAAAGCTCGGCTGCGGCCGGAGCTAGCTTGACCGTCGGACCGAACGAACGTGGCTGCATATTAATTGATAATTTCACGAAAGCGCGCGTACTATGTGCGCTTTAACGCCCGTGTCGGGGATATACAATCGGGATTACCTTCCCCCGGCCGGCGAGCGGGAGCACCGAGAGCGCCGCGTGGTCTGTGGATCGCGGGAATAATTTTACTCGGAGGCTCTTCATTAACACGATCCCTGCTTGAAAACACGTCCTTAACGCGCCAACGTCTGCCGCGTCGACGATCAGCTCGTCGAAGACCATCTTCTTAAACGTCGGCCGATCCTATTTTGCTTCTTTATCCGGTGCAAGCGAGATCCCGTCTCTCGACGTCGTCGTCGTGGTCGTCGCCGTAGTCGACCTCCGGTGTCGTCCCAAAATGGGATACGGACTTAACTGCAGTCGATACCACTCTCGGAAGCTTCTTGATTCTCAAGAAGGGCTCTGTTAATCCGCTCTCTTGTAGAGATACTTTGTGTTTTCTTTTTTTCGTACCTCGCAGAATTTTCATGGCGACAGAACAAGAGATATATATATATATATAATTTGTCCATCCTTTGCAATCCTTCCCTCTTCTGTTTACTCAATTTTCCTTTTGTCCTTACAGGTGTCCGTTTTATTATCGACTACTCGCTATTGCGGGCCCTTGTAATCCTTTCAGGTGCTGACACTGTTAATCCCCTTACCACAAGTTTTATTGCCAGGACATAATACAATACGACAACATTCTTTCGCTTTCAGGGGCATAGCTAAAGCCGGCGAGCCCAACAATTTTTTGCCGATGTCACCGGCTGCCTTGCCTATGGAGCCCTCGCTTTACGGGACTCTTAGGAGAAAACAGAGGCGGCTGGCTAGGGAAAATCCAGGGGTGCTGATGGCAGTGGCCAGAGGCGCGAGTCAAGCCATTAACGAATGCCAGTACCAATTTCGCAATCGACGATGGAATTGCTCGACGAAGAATTTCCTCAGAGGGAAAAATCTCTTTGGCAAGATCGTTGACAGGGGTAAGTGCATTAATCGATCGAATTCGCAAATGAAGAATCGATATTTGGCGAACAATAATGATACAGCTGCACAATGTGTTCGTATATTATTTTGAGCCGTTCGATATCGAATGGAATTCAACAACCGAGTCCTATCCGAATACTACCTGTGTTGAAAAATGAAATTTAAGTCTTCTTTGAAATAGAGTTTGCTACAGAAAAGACTCCTCCATAAAAATAAGTAGACTATCGGAATCTTGTGGTTCGAAATAAGCGGGAGAGAAACGAGGGCTTTCACGGTTATAGTAGACCCGAAAACTCGATGTAAAAAATTAAGACATATAACAACAAAAACGTGTTTGTTCTGTGCTCGAGAGGTTGACTATTGTCCCGTGGTCGTCCCCGATAACCGGTATAGATTTACTGGAGACGAGTTTCAGCAGGGACAACGAGAGAGAAAGGGAACGAGGAGGAGAGAGAGAGAGAGAAAGAGAAAGAGGGCCGATCGCGGCCGTTAAGATCGCGAGTGACAAATCTGTCAATTTGCTTGAGCCAACATGAGCTCGATACGTCCCGTAACACTCGGTAGATTAAGTAATAAGGCCGTCATCTCGTCATCGCAATGCGTCATCGCGATAATCGTCGAGCGAACGACACCTTCGAGATAAGCCGTGGATTCGATCGGCGTAGAGCTAATTTAAAAACGACATCATGGTCTCTTATCTGGCCGAAAAGCATGTTGTCCCGAATGGGTTATATTTCTCGTAACGATTCTTCGCTTCTCTTTTAGCTTGGTTAAATATAGTCATCAGCATACGATCGAACGAAAATCCTATAAAATTTTTTTGCTCGTTGAACTTACGAATTTAGATAAAATATATCACCGGCCGACAAAAAAGTCACGGCATGCGCGTGAGTTATATAAAAATTATACCATTTATATAGACATCGATTTTAAATTGAATCAATTTGATTGATTGAATGAAGATTAAATTGAATCAATTTGAATAAAATAATGAAGGAAGAATATTGTAAAATATTTTCTGCATAAAGTATTCCAGACGAGTATAATGATACGATCCATCTCGTGCGAGCTTATTTCACGAATCTTCGGATATCTAACGTGAACATGTAACGAATTGTAATATATAATCAAATATATAGGTTATATCTGAGCTCTTATCGACAAACTTACAGGACAGATTCTGTGTGAAAAATAAATAAAAAAGTCTTAGTAAGTATATGTTGGCAAAAGCTTGATTTTTGAGATGTAGCCTTCAGAGCATGACAACGAAGATGGAAAAGAATTTATCGCGATAAGCGAGTTAAAAATGTAATACAACACTTTTTCACCTTTTTTGCCCATTTTTTACATGTTTTTAAAGAAATACCTATCAATTCTGATGTTTTTAAATATTAACCGAAGAATATTCACTGTAACCTTGATATATTATTGCTTTTTATCGCGGATAAAATTAAAGAAACCTATTATTTCCCTTTGACATCATGATAAGAGAGATAGACATTTTAAACAATTTTTATAACAGTATATGTCTATTTATTATTTATTTGCAAAACACACGAATAAAATATATATCTTTTAAGCTAATATATCTAACTAATATATTTAATCTTTTAAACTAATATCTTTAACGGAAAAATCTTTTCAACGAATAAAATATGTATCTTTGAAACTCAGATTGCAGCGGCTATATCTAAGAAACGAAATATTTGAAGACATATTTACTAACATATTTATTAAAACTGTTTTACTGATTTTTTATATGTAGAATCTATCCTGTGAATTCAGACACTTTGTATACGTGCAACGAATGATTACAAGCTCGATAAATACACAGATATTGTCCCGTCATCACTCGAGACCGTGTAGCCTAGACACCCGCGGTGCTCACGGCGAGGCGCATTAACACCTCGTTCTCGAGTGCGAACGATCGCATAGATCGAGTGCACGAGGGCGCGAAGGCTCGAAGTCGTCGTGGGGTTAGAAGGGCCAGAGCGCGGCGACGGCGCGCGGACGGACGGACGGACGGCCGGCCGGGGGACCGGGGGGGTCTTAGGGGGCGTGCCCTTCGTCCGAAGGCCCCGGGCACGTGCCCTCACCGGCCAGATGTATGTTTTGCAACCTGATAATGGACCTTCTCGTACCAGTTCTCGCTCCCCTGCGGCTCTTTTAGATCTCGTCGAGGCGATTGTAAGCCGAGCTTTTTCGCTCGAGCCGCTCCCACCCCATTATGTCGAATGTCCCCATATGGCCACTTAGTAAAACTAAAAGAAGTACACGCGGCGCGCAAAGAAGAGAAAGAGGGCCTCATGGGTGGGGGGAAGGGGGTAAAACCGTGCGAGAAAGTGAGAGAGCGAGCGCGTTATTTTCATCAGGCTGTAACGCGTACGCTCCGACGCCCAGAGACATGTTTCGTTGTTAACGTAAAGCAACACGAGACGCTCGTAATGCGCGCGACGGCGGAGGGGAATTTCGTCCGTTCCGACCGCCGGTTAATACGATGATGCTCCCCGAGGTGTGCGCTCGCCTATCTAACACCGGCGTGTCTAGTTGCAAATAGATTCGTATCGTCTGCGCTAATACCCCGCGTGTTACCCCTCTTTGTGACTCTCGTTCCCGATTCAATTTCCTATCGCCGAGTGCGACGCATTCGTGCCGACAATGTACCCAGCGGACGATTAATACCGGTGACCGTCGTGTCGTAATTAACGACAGTCGTACGAGAGCTTAATTAATAACTGAATTTGAATGATACAGCAAGCAAATATGTGACGCGCGTGTGTGTAGGTCCGTCTTTTATCTCGTTTTATTGGCTTTTTATTGGCCGTAAAATCCAATTTTCAATTAATTATACTTGATAAGTGGCCTAATGAGACGCGGTGGTATCACAGCACCGCTCGTTACCCGGTGATCAACGTGGCGTTCAATGTGTTAACTGTACCTATTCTACGTAGGTAGATACCTCGAGAGAAGTACACAGAGGGTAATATTACACTACGAAGAAAAGCAATTGTTCATTTTGTTTCCCTCCTTTTAACAAATGGATATCTTGAACAAAGAATATTTTATTGAAAATAATATTAAAATATATATGCACATTACAAATATTAAAGATTTCTTTGTCATTTAATGTAAAAGTACCAATACCTGAACGCGTACTACCTAACTCTGGACATTCTTGTTATTTCGGTCTTTAAATATGAATATTCCAATTTCCAAAATATAATATACGAAGGTGAATCAAATATAAACCGGAATTATTTTTTTGTTTAATTGAAGCATCATGAAAACTAACATACATAACTATTTTTCTACATAATCCCCGGACTTCGAAACACATTTTTCTCAACGGGTAACCAGTTTTTTAATTCCGCTATCATAAAATGAAGGCGGTTGTGACAGCAGCCAATCGCTCACGAAGGATTCGACAGAAGCATCGTTGTCAAATCTTTGTCCTCTAAGTGCTTCTTTGTGGTGGTCCAAACAAATGATAATCGCAGGGCGATAAGTCCGGACTGTAGGGAGGGTGTTCCAGTGTAGTCCAGACCAGTTCTTCAATTTTTTGACGAGTTACGGCAGCTGTATGGAGCCGGGCATTATCGTGAAGCAGGATAACGTCTCGGATTGAAAATCCGCGTCTTTTCCGACGATATTCGCGTTTTGCTTCGTCCAAAAGTTGGCAGCAGTATGCGGCGTTCACAGTACGACGTTCGTGAAGAAAATCGACGTGCGAAATACCTTTAAAGTCAAAAAATACAGTTGCAAGAACTTTTTCAGCTGAGAGCCGAATTTTGGCTTTGACCGGTGCAGATTCACTTTTCTTTCGCCATTCCATACTGGCTTCTTTGGATTCCGGTGTGTAGTGGTGCACCCAAGTTTCGTTGCAAGTCACGATTCGGTGCAAAAAAGCTTCCCCTTCGGCCTGATAGCGTGTCAATAGCCGTTCGCACACCTCCAAACGGTGCCGTTTCTGATTTTCGGTGAGAAGACGAGGGACCCATCTGGCGGACACATTTCGAAACCCAAGGTCGTCAGTAATGATTGCCTGAGCACTGCCGAAGTTTATTCCGACCTCAGAAGCAATTTCAGCGACCGTTAATCGACGGTCACCCTCGATAAGGCTGCCAACTAGGCGAATATTCTCCTCTGTCCTCGGGCGACGTCGGTGCCCCTCATTTTCAACAGTTTCTCGTCCTTCTAAAAATTGTTTGTGCCACTCGTTTCAGTCTTCTTAAGCGTATTGTCCCCAAACTGTGCTTCAAGCCTTCTCAATACGTCCGACGGTTTTACGCCTTCTGCAGTGAGGAATTTAATAATAATTCGTTGTGCAACGGACGAGGGTACCTCCCGCTCTGACATTGTGATACTGATTAACGGAGCGCTAATGAGAGATCGCGTAGGGGGGGATCTCCGTCAGGCATCCCCACCTATAACGCTCAGAAGCCTGGCCTCCGTTCGCCTCACTGCGAGTATAAAAATAATTCCGGTTTATATTTGATTCACCCTCGTATATAATACATATACTTACATTGAGTATATATAAATATTTTATTTAGAGAGATTAAATATTTGTATTTAAAGATCAAAACCACAAGAATGTTCAGGTACGCGTTCAGCCATTGGTATTTTTACCTTACTTAAAAGAAGAATTTTGTTTTCCTTTCAGGTATATTATAAATTTTATCAAAGATAAGTTAAATTCGGTTAAATTGGCATAAGTAAACCGAAATTTTAGTTTTAACGTTTTAATATTTTTAACTGTACATTTTAATCGAATATGTTTAATTGAAGTACTAATAATTAAACTTGGTAAAATTCAAAATATATTTTGAATATATACATTTGCGAATATACAAACTTATGAGAAAAAAAATGCTTAAAACAAGTAATATTTACTTGAATGCAGTATGTATTTTTCTATGTAATCTTTGTGATGGAGGATGTTAGCTGAGAGTCAACTCAAACGGCAGAATCTTCCGCGTTAACTGTTTCTGTCTTT